GGGGGGATTGCAGGGCAGGGGGTCCCTGAAGCCGGCAGAGCCCGGTGTCCGGAGGCAGCCCTGCCCCGATGCCCCGGGGAACCTCCACGCACGGGGGAGGGACAAGCTGCGCCCGGGACGTGGGCCCCCACCCTGCAGCCGGTCCCGTTGGGAAAGCTGTCTCCCTCCCACCCAGACACGGACGCCGGGATGGGGGCGAGTCCCAGCGCTGGCGGGCACCAGCCGGTGGGCACAACCGGGCCCGCCCGGGGAGGGGGCTGCTGCCGGTGCCCCGCTCTGCCACGGAGCCCCAGGGGGGCTGAGCCGGCCCCGGCCCGTGGGGTGCAGCAAGGCCCGGGAACCTGCCCCCCGAGCCCTCGCTCACGGCGGCTTCCCACTCCCCCCCCAGCCCGGAGAGCCCCCAGCCAGCCCTCCAGGAGCATGGCCCAGCAGGACGGAGAGCGGGGGCCTCAGCCGATGGCACTCGCGGCCCCCGAGCTGGAGTGCAAGATCTGCTACAGCCGCTACGACGCCCGCGCCCGCAGACCCAAGCTGCTCCGCTGCGGCCACCGCCTCTGTGCCAAGTGCCTGCGCAAGATGGTGGCGCTGGGGGATGCGTCCCCCCGCCAGCTCCGCTGCCCCTTCTGCCGCCGGCACAGCCCGGTGCCCGGTGGGGACGTGCAGCAGCTGCAGGACGACGGCGAGGCGCTGGCACTGCTGACGGGCCGTGAGCGGGCCAAGAAGCGGGGTCCCCCCCGGTCCCCCGAGGTTCTCCTCTGCCCCAGCGTGCTGGAGCCCGCGCCCGGCCCCGACTGCCTGGTCGTCACCATCCTGGAGGTGCCGGAGGACGTGGCCCCGCCGGAGGGCCTGGGCGGGCTGGAGGTGGTGCGGCTGTACCGTCCCACCAGCCTGGGCGCGCTGGCCTGCCACGGCCCCGGGCACAAGTGCCGCTCTTGGGGGTGGCGAGCCGTCCCCCGCTTCATCCTGGGCGTCCTCTGCCTCCTCTACTTCAGCTCCCTGCCCTTCGGCATCTACCTCCTGCTCATTGAGCACCACAGCCTGGGCATCGTCCTGGTCAGCCTCGTGCCCTCCACCCTCCTCCTCTGCATCATCTACAGCCTCTGCCAGTGTCTGTGCCGGGAGGTCTTCGGGTTCCCCCACTCCTGACCCTGCATGGCTGAGCCCTGTGCCCGCCAGGAAGGCTTGGGCACCTTGGAGCGTTGTCCCTTGGGTATGGGTGTTCCCCGACCCACAGCTGACCCACGGCGTGGAGGTCTGCCTGGACCACGGGGAGATGCTCAGCGCATGTTGCCTTCCCTTGCAGAACAGTGCGGGCTTTGCCAAGTGGGAGCCCACGCTGGAGCGGCTGCAGGAGCTTGTTGCAGCCTACAAGCATTCAGGACAGACCCTTAGCTCCTCGTCCTCCTCCTCCTCCGGAGCAGAGAAAGAGCAGGAGCTGGGCAGAGAGCAAAACAGCAACTGGGACACTAATCCCAACTAAGGAAGCACGAGTGCTCGGTGCCTAAGCGCTGTGGCTGGAGGGGCCCCGGCAGCTGGCCGCAGCCTGGCGCTGGCAGGAGAATGACAGGCAGAGCCCGGGGGCTCCTGCAGCTGGACTGGCACCAGCACAGCTCCGTGTCCATAGTGTAAATAGTTCTGTCCGTGGCGCCCATGCTCCTTGCAGGGCTGCTCCCATCGCATCCGTGTTTCTTTCCCACATGTGTGAGTCCCGTGTTTGCCGACGCTGTGTATAGGGGAGGAGCGGAGAAGAGGAGTTTCTTTGGTGTGTAAAGACGTCTTTGCAGCTGTTTTGTAGTCGTTGTGGTTTTTACGCGGAGCCTCCGGGCTTTATTTAACCTCCTTGGGTTTTGTTTTGTAAGGATTAATTTAACACCGCTAACCATTTTATTACTTTTATCAAGAAGAGCAAAGTCTATTTTTGATTTCTGTTTCCTAGTTCTTAGAACATTAAAAACCAGCATACAGCTCTGCCCCGTGTCCCTGCATTCCTGGGACTCCTGGTCCGCTCTCCCCTCCCCAGCCAGCTCCCCTGGCCCCGCTTGTCACCCTGGGGCTGTGCAGAGCCACTTGCAGGAGCCCGACCCCGGGGGGTTGGGGGGAGCCCAGCAGGTCTGAGCCCAGACCTGGCAGCCGATGTCCTGTTCAGCGAGCGGATGGGCGCTGCTGCTCCTTCCCACAGCCCTCGTGTGCGATGTCCTCCTGCGGGTCCCGGTCAATGCGTGTCCGTGTCCCTCCCCGTGCCACCCCATGGCACAGCGCTGTGACGACCATCCCAGCCCTGCACCCCACATGTGAGCCCACCCCACACATGACCGTGGATGTCCAGGGAGGGGAAAGGGGAGGAGGTGTCAAGAAGGAACCGAATCACCTGGAAATGCTGCAGCTTTTCCTCTGCCGAACAGGGGGATCCCCCTTGGGGACCACAGCTGGTGGTGGGGCCAGTGAACCCCCGCAGCCTGGCCGGGTGTGCAGGAGGGTCCCGCTTTGGGCGGCACGGGCATGTTGTCGTCGGGCAGATGGGGCTGGGCAAGGGGCAGCCCGAGGGGCTTGGGGCAGGCTCTGCCCTGCTCCCTGGGGGTGGTGGAGCTGCCTGCAGCAACACTGGCAGTGCAGATGCCTGCATCCCTGACAGCATCCCCGCTGGCACCACTGCATCCACGCCAGCATCCCCCCTGGCATTCCCCCCGCAGACAGGCAACACCAGGAGGCCCAAGACAGTCACATTTATTAGTGCTTCATGTCCCTCCCTGCCCACACCTCCTGCTCTCCTTGTCCGGACAGCTGCCGGATCCCGAGGCCATCTGTCCTGCCCTGCCCAGCCATGGGGCTGTCCCCTCCCCACAGCCACAGCCCCCACCTGACCCCTGGGGTCAGAGCATGACAGCCCCAGCCCTACCCCTGCTCCAGCACCGCCGGCACCCCTGGGGCGCACCCGGTCTCACCGGGGGCAGATGCCAGCATCGCCGCCACGCTCCAGATCTTGGGTTTTTGGGGCTGCTTGCCCTGCCCAGGGCCTGAACCCTGCTCGGGGCTGCCCCCGCACCCATCCTGCATGGGGCTGGGGCCAGGTGGGGCACTTGGCAGGGTGCCCTCGCCCTCGCTGTCCTCGCCGTCCGAGGCACCGCGCAGTGCCCAGCCAGCCTTATTCTCCTTCTTGAGGCGCCGGCGGGCATTGGCAAACCACGTGGAGACTTGGGTGAGGCTCATCCGGCTGACCACAGCCAGCATCACCTTCTCCCCCTTGCTGGGGTAGGGGTTCCTGGGGTGCCGTGCCAGCCAGGCCTTCAGCGCTCCGGTGCTCTCCCGCGCAGCTGCCTTCACCCGCCCTGGCTCCGCGGGCAGCCCCAGCGGCACCTCGTAGGCTGGCGAGACCTGGAGGGGGCAGAGGGATATCAGGGCAGGACTGGGTGAGGGGCACCTGCAGCCAGAGGAGAGGGGCTGGGGGATATGGGGGCTCAGCCCTTCGTGCATGGCATGGGAGGGGGCAGAGCTGGGTCCTGCCCATCCTTGCCCTCTCCCGTGCCTGGCACCGCGCACTCCAAACGGCCGAGGTGCAGGAGGGTGCAGGGGGATGTTGGGGGAGTGCAGGGGACCCAGGACAGCAGCTCCCCAGCCCCGACCCGAACCACCCCACACAGCCCCAGCCCGGTCCCAGGAGGGGGGGATCCCACGTCCCAGCCCCCAAGAGCTGCCGTGTGGCACTTACCGAGGGCGCCAGGAAGCTTAGGGGGGGCGGCAGCAGGCTGTAGCCGGCCAGCACGGGGCAGGGGCATGGGCAGGGGCAGGGCAGTAGGGCTTCGGGGGGGCCCTGCAGGGCCCCCCACGGCACCCCGCAGCCCCCCGGCTCTCGGCCTGGACTCCCCTCGCCCTGAGGAGCTGCCATGCTGCAGGGAGAGGAGCCGGGGAGCTGCTCCCGGGTGTTTTATAGCTGCCGGGGTCCGTGGTGACTGACAGCTGATTAGGGGGTATTAGCACCCACGAGAGTGGCAGCAGGGATCTGGGGCAGCTGATACCTCCCCCTCCCCAGCTAGTGTCGGGCGGGGAGCATCCTCCCCGCCTGCCCACCACCAGCCAGGATGTGGCCAGGACCCCACACCAGGACCCCCCGCCGGCCCCCCAACCCTACTTGGCCCCAGCACAGCCCACAGGGATGGGGTGCAGTGGCACCGGGGGCTGGTGCACGGGGGCCCATGTGAGCCCCATGGCCACAGGGACGCAGCGCACATGGGGACACGCATGGGACACAGCACAGCCGGGGCTTTATTGCAGTGCCAAGAGCCGTCAGTCCCCGTCCTTGGCCCCAGGGCAGGGGTCAGCAGAGCCCCCCATGCCACAGCAGGCCGGGTCATAGGGCCAGAGGCCAGCAGGAAAACCTTTGCACGGCCCAGCAGGGCTTGAGCCGTGTGAGGTGCTGCCCCGGAGTCTGCTCCTCCTCCTGCTTGGCCAGGTCCTCGCCCAAGCCCCAGTGCCGCCGCTCCAGAGGGATGAAGGGGAAGGGGCCCCGCAGCCCCAGGGACCCTTTGCCTGGGTGGGCACTCAGCCCTGCAGGCATGGGGGCATTCCTGCCTGCTGACAGAGCAGGGGCAGGCAGGGCAGTGGTGGGCAGCTGCACAAGGGGACCCGAGAGCCCACGACCCCCTGAGCCGCCTGGCTCCTGCCGCTCTGCCTCCCGCTCAGACTGGGATTATCCCACAGGTTGTATCCATCATTAAATACTGACTAATAACGCTCTCAAGATATTAAATATGTAACAAACCCGCTTAGCGCTGGCCGGGGACGGGAAGGGGAAGGTCACTGGTGCTAATGAGCCCTGCCGCATCTCCAGGCTCCCTGCAGGTCCCCAGTGATAGCAGAAGGTCCCAAGGCCAAGGTGCCAGTGCTGAGGGGCCCCGAGCTCCCACAGCCCCACTGTGCCCCATGGCCAGAGCCGCAGCAGCACCCGGAGCTCCCCATGTGCAGCGGCCAGGAGCTCTGGTCCCATCCATCCCAAACGCATCCCCACCTCGGGTTGGTCCCGTGCTCTTGGCAGCCCCAGGCGTGGAAGCCGCCAGCCAGGAGGGGATGGCAGGGCTGGACAGCACCAGCCCTGGCCATGACCCTGCAGCAGCCCCGTAACCTTGTCCCCACAGGACTCCTGAGCCCTAATCAGTGCCGCGGCAGCACCGCAGATCCGCTTTATTAGATAATGGGGCAGTAATCTAGGAAAGCGCCTGCGGATTGCTGCGGTGTGCCTTAACCCTGCGCGGCACAGCTGGAGAGGGAGGGCCATGGCCAGCCATCGATGTGGCGGATGGACACAGCTGGATGCTGACCGAGCCACGGCCAGACAAGCACAGCCGCACGCTGGCACAACTGGGCATGGACAAGGCGGCAGGCAGACGTGAAGGCAGCGGGATACAGCCACAGCCAGGACAGAGCCACGACCAACTGCAGCCGATGCTGCTTGCCCAGGGGGAGTGTGGGGCCACCCACTCCCCGCGCCCCCAGCTAGGCAGGTCAAGGGGTCCAGTCCACAGCAGCCCCGGTGCCCAGGCAGGCTGCTACCTGCAACCCTGAGGCAGGGGACAAGCAGTGGGCTCCCTGGAGCCGGTGGGTACCCCCATCAGCCGGGGCCGGAAGGCTGCTGCTGTCATTTTGGGCAGAGCAGGCTCTGCGTTCACAGCACAAGGTCCAGTGCCGTCCCCGTCCCTTGCATGTGCCGGATGGGGAGTGCGGCTGAGAGCCCAGTGATCACACTGCACCAGTCCCACAGCTACAGGGCTCCGGCCTCACAGAAGCTCTTGCTGGAGTTGGGTGGTTCTAGGTCTTTTTCCCCTCCGCGGATAATCAGTTTAATGCAAAAGCATAGAACTAAAACTCTGAGATTAGCTGTTATAATCACATGTAAATACTTCCAGACAATCCGCTCAGGGAGGGGCAGCGTGTGTAGTTTGGGACAGAGTTACATGGGATTTAGGCTGTTTACCACTCGATTAATTTCATGACTCCAGCCCCAAGCCCACAGTTGTACCAGCTGCCCGGCCCACTTCCCAGGAGTCAAGGTCACTCGGGCAGGAGGAAGCCAATAGCAGAGGGCAGCCGCATCTGCTGGCAGCAACCTGCCCGGCCCCAGTGCCAGGCTCTGGGATCCCTGCGGCCCAGTCCCAGAGGAGGCAGCGGGAAGGCTGGGCCTGCCCAGCCCAGCTGGCTGGGGGTAGGACTACAGACGCTGCAGGCAGACGCATATGCAGGTTTCAATCCCTTTTTATTCATAAGCATAGTCAAAGCTTGAGAATGTCAGAATCGATCCCCTCCCGCAACCACCTACAAACCAACTCCAGAGTCCATCCCTCTTCAGAAGAAAAATAAAACATCTTCCACCCATGCTTCTTCCTACCCTGGGTTCCTCCAGTCCAAAGCCCTACTGCTGCCTGCCCGCAGGCCGGAGAAGCCAAGGGAGGGACGGCTGCCCTCACGCCAGGACCGCACACCCCACAGCTGCGGAGCGGGGAGCGCGTGGCTGCGGCTGCACACACACCTCTCGTACCGTACTGTGCGGCTGCACTCTCTCCCAGGATCCTTGCATGGTAGGCAGACGTCGATCCGAGTTTGGCCCACACAGACATGATTCAGGAAAAGGGATTTCAGACCATCAAGTGCAACAGGCAAAGAGACCATCCACATGAGAGCGCTGCCACCGTGCAGCCTGCCTCAGCGCCTCGGCTGCGGCGCAGTCTCTGCTGGAGACAGCTGCCTGTGCCGGAGAGGATGCGCAGGACCCTCGTGGCACGTGGCCAAGCGGCAGCATGCCCCGGCTGTGGCACGCTCAGACACGTCCCTCGTAGCCCCGAAGCAATAAGGCAACTGCTGGCTGAGGAGGCTCCTGCCTGGTACAGCTGTCCTGCTCAGCAAGTGTGTCCCAGCGCCAGCCGGGCCCGGCCCCGGTGCTAGTCCGCCAGCGTGATGACATCGTAGTGGATCCCCTGCTGCAGCTGCTGGATCTGCTCAGCCGTCGCCTCGGCGGTGAACACGCCCTGCGCCTGGGCCATCGCAGCATCAGCCACTGCTGCAGAGGAGAGGGGGGTCAGTGTCTCCTCGCATCCAAGGGCGGGAGAGAGCAGGCGGCTGCCCAGGGCCCCCCTCCGTGGGGAACAGGCAGAGAGTATGGGCAGGAGTACAAGAGCACAAGGGCCACCACGCCTTGTGCGGGGCTTCAGCAGGGAGCTTAGCTCCCGTTAACTCTGCAAACACACGTCAGGGTGTCTCCACCCTGTGGAAGCTGCTGCACCTCCCAGCAAAGCAACTCATCTCTGGGGGAAGGGAGCTGATACTATTCCAGAATGGATGTGCTGGGACCAGCAAAGATCTCCCCTCAGACACCAAGGCTGGCCGCTTCCCAGAATTACAGGGAGGCAGGCAGCAAGGTGGCAACCTAGCCTCACCAACCCCAGACCTTCTGCCAAGGACTGCTGCGCGGCTGCCCTGCTGGCTACAGCAAACGAGCAGCCTCTGCAGGCAGAGCTGGGCTGAGACCACGGTATCTCAGTGGCTGCTAACAGGCATCGCAAACTGCCCAGCAGGACTGGCACCCCGAGACCCGGAGGGAGACAGGACTGCCAGAGCTACGCCAAAGCTCAGCCCCGGGGCCCTGGTCCTACCTGAGACTGCCGAGTGTGCAGCTGCCTCCAGCTGTGCCTGGGTGACAAGCTGCTGCTCAGGTGAGACAGGCATGTACTGGATCTGCAGGGAGGAGAGAACAGGAGAGTCTGGGAGGGGCAGGGTCCCTCCTGGAGTGCTGCTCTGGCCACAGTTGCTGCAGCAAATCACCAACCTGCATGTACCTTCTATTTCACATCCCTCCCTCCCTCCATCTCCACCCATTTGCTCAGAGCCCGTCTCATGGCAGTCCCGTCAGCTCCAGCCACTGTGTCTGGCCCCTTACCTGCGGCTCCTGGAGGAACTGGCTGCCCTGCTCATACTGGATGTGGGTGATCTGACCATCCTGTACCTGGGGACAAGAGCCACAGTGAGGCTGTGTCAGGGCTAGTGGGCGTCCCTGCCCCTGAACAAAGCTGTGACTTGAACAGAGCAAGCCACAGGGCGCAGGAGGCCCAGCCCCACACACAGCACCCTCATGAGCCCCATCCACCATGCAAAGGGAGCAGACAGCCTGAAGCTTACCTGGATGTGATGTCCTTCCGGGACAACAACATACTCATGGGGAAGCAAGTGCTGTACACCATCCTGGGCAATGATGTACTGAACCTGCAAACACAGGGATTCAGACCCAAAAACATCACCGCTGCCCATCCCCTACACCACAACAGGGCTGGTTCTTGTCTGGCTTCTGTGCCTGTTTCCACCCGCCTCTCCCCACTGCCCCCAGCTCTTCCTGCTCCAGCTGCACAGAATCTTTTGGTTCTTGGGAGATGCTTCTCCCTCACCTGGTTGTCAGAGGTCACTAAGTGCTGTACTGTCTGTCCGTCGGCAGTTGTGATCTCCTGGATGTAAGTAGCCTCCTCCTGCAGGTCAGCAAGCGCCCAGTGCTGTCAGTGGGGGTGGGCCTGACCACAAGCCCTCCGAGAGGAGGGAACCCACGCAACTCGTGGGGAGCGGCCACACAGGGTGGGAGGATGAGACCGATGGGCCCAACTCACCTGGCTCGTGACGCTCTGCTCCTGTGCGACGATGATGTGCTCCTGCCCCAGAGCCTGCTGCAGCCGCTCAGGAGCCAGCACTGCCTGGCCGGACTGCAGAGCCGCTGGAATGCAGAGAAAGCCAATGAGGATACTGCTGGGGCTGCGGCCAGCCCCTGCCAGGTGCCCACCCCAACAAAGAGCACAGGACAGTCTCTTAGCTCTGCTCACAGAAAGTCAGAAACTAAACCAAACTCTCCCAACATGAAGGAAACCAAAGGTCACTTCGGGCAAAACACAACCTCCACATCAGACTGTGAATTCCGCTTCCCATTTCAGCCATGAGCTGCTCACAGCACCACTGCTCCTGCAACGTACTGATCTATTGGGACCTGCTTGGAGCAAACACTGGACCCCTAGTTCTGCACAGAACCACAACAGTCAGCACCTCATCAGGAGAGCTCCCTTCACCCAGTCCCCTTATCTTTGGACCTACCAAGTCCTGCCACCGTTGGCAATCCTAATCTTCAGCAGGAATCTCCTGGCCCTGACCCATCTCAGCCCTGCTCAGCCCCCAAGCTGGGTGAATCCCCGCACAGGGCTCTGGCCACAGGAAACCCACAGACCACCCCTAGTCACAAGGACACATCTTACTCTGCAGGGTGGCCAGTGTGTCCTCATCACTGTTCAGGATGATGGTCTGCTGGGCAGCAGCTGCAGGCCCCCCTGGCCTTTTCCCCTCCGAGCTGTGCAAACGCTGCATGTGGAACTTGAGGTGCCCATTACGGTTGAACCTACAGAAGGAACAGAGTGAGGTGGAGTTCACCACGGGCAGTGCAGGGCCTCTGTGCTCTCTGCAGAGACCAAGGCCATGAGCACCATAAGCACATCCTAGAACATGGCTCATCCCCGCTCCCAAAACATCCCCGTCAGGCCCAAGTACTGAATCTCCCCATGCAGAAGTTCCTTGGAGACAAAGCTGGGTCCACCTGCAGCAGGAACCGTTCTCAAGGGCAGAGTTCCCTCTAACAGGGGACTGTTCCTGGGGTAGGGCCAGCACAGCCAGCTCTTTGCCAACATCCTATCTCCTCTTGAGCCTTGAAGAGCTCTACAGGATCTCTCGAAGCAGCCACAACCTAGCAAGCTTCACTCACCTCTGCCCACAGATCTGGCAGGCAAAGGGTTTCTCGTTGGTGTGTGTCAGCATGTGCCTGCGCAGGTCCTTCTTGTTCTTGGAGGCAAAGCTGCAGTGGGTGCACTTGTGTGGCCGAAGGCTGGCATGCTGCACCATGTGGCTCTGGGGGCAGAAGGAGAAGCGCAGGGTCAGAAAGCCTCCGTTTCTCCAAACGTCTTGTTCCCAGGGCTGCTCTGTGCCAGGGAACCTACCCGAACCTCCGGCCAGAGGGCTGCAGTGAATGGACAGTCAGGACACTTGAAGGTGCTGGGCCCAATGTGGGCTCTCTTGTGACTCTCCATTTCTGCTCTCCCTGTGAACATGGCTGTGCAAATCTTGCATGAAAACTTTTTGGCTGTGGAAATCTTGCACGAGAGCTTCTTGGCTGTGGAAACCTTGCATGAGAGCTTCTTGGCCATGCCTTGGAGCGCAGGCCACTTGACCTTTGGGGATGAGATTTCCTGTCCCTCGGAGGCTGGGGATAAAGACGAGTCCTTCTGGAGCTGCCTGGTGACACACTGCACCAGGGGCCACTTGACGCTGGCAGGCTGTGCCTCCTGGCCCTCCACAGGCGAGGGAAAGGCAGCGTCCCCGCTGAGGGGCTGAGAGAGAAACACCCAATCACACCTGCTCACACTGCTGCCCGAGACGGGGAGAAAGCTCAGCTACTTACCTCAATGTGATGGAACTGGCTCCCTGGAATGCCGGACGACATGATATAGTGATTGTTATGCTCCTTCAGAGCCTCCTCTGTCATCACAGCTTCACTCACCACAACCGCATGGGAGGTCTCTGCAGGGCTCTCCTCTTCACTGCTGGAGAGGACAGGGTCAGGGAGGATCTGCCTCGTCCACCTCACCACTAAAGCCTCCTCATTTGAGGTCAGAAATCTCCCCACTCCTCCCATACAGCTGACCTGTACAGCGTGCCTGGAGCCTGAATCTCCTCACTGATGGGTGTGATGATGCTGTACTCTGTCGCCCCGCCAAAGGGGATAGTGATCTGCTGTAGTTCTGAGCCACCCAAGGTCGCTTCCTCATAAGCCTCCTGCACCAACGTCTCCCCAGGCTCTGCCATGTGCAGCGTCACCAACTTCTGCTGCTGCTCCTCAGTCTCTGCCCCCTCCTCCTGTGCGTGTGGCTCACAGGGGGCCTGCGCCTCTCCTGAATCACCTGGCTTCACCACTGCCACCTGCGGAGGGGACAGCAGCTCAGCCAGAGGAAGGCAAGACACCCTCTGAAGTGGAACAGGGCTAGGCACTGTGGAAAGACTGGGGAGGGCTGGGAAGCCCCCCCCTGCCACTTCCTGGCA